TTCATGTATATTCAATTATTTTTTACTATATTGCTATATTATATGTTCGTTTATGTTCATATATGTTTAATTGTGTTTTTTTTATCTTTGTTTGTTTATGTTTGTTCGTTTATGTTCGTTTAGCATGTTCACGAACATAAATGAACGAACATGAACAAAGTAATTTGTTAAACGAACGAACATGAACAAGAAAATCTCATTCGTTTATCCGTTCGTGTTCGTTTGTTGTTCGGCTAACTTAAACGAACGAACATGAACAAGACCTTGTTCATGTTCGTTTGGTTCATTTACAGCCCTAAGCATATATGTTGATCGCTACAAAATCCTTGTGCCTTTTGAATAGATGTCACAACTTTAATGATAAATTGTGTACGTAAACTGTTAATCGACCAAATACCTTTACTTATCTCTCGAAGTCATTTACCATTTTCAGGTAATATCCCAGTAGACTTATTTATTTATTTATTTATTTATTTATTTTGGAAACAGAGATTTGTAAAAGGGGCAACAAACAAAACAGAACAAGTTCACGCCTACCAGAGACATACCAGAGACAGGTGGAGCGAAAAAAAAAAACAAAACGAAATTACATAGTTTTAAAAGGATAGCAAAGCAAATCCGACCAAATAAATCTACCCAAACTGCCCTTAAAGTTCACCCAATTGTACACCTTATTAATAATGTGGTCTGCCGATTTCGTAGGGGTGGTATGCTTTTGATGGGTTTTGAGCAAAATATCATTCCTATGGTGTACATGCAAACCTTAATAGCTTTTGGATCTAGTTTGTCTAATTAACATGCAATTGAATATCCAAAGTTATAAACCCTAGATCTAGCATACAATTAATCATATTAACATAAGATTGGGGTTTAAATATTACCTTGATTGTTATGTAGCAATAACAATCTCAAATCCTCATTTGTAATGGTTTTAAAAAGGTTAGAGTCACAAGTGTCACTCCTCTAATGGCTCACAAACACCAAGAGCAAGAGGATGAAGAATGATAAGAGAGGAGGCACCCAAAAAACGTGTAGAAACCTCAGTTGGCCATGTTTTTTTGCCCTAGGGTTCCTTAAATAGTGAGGCTATTAGGGTTATCTAACAAGGAAACCCTAATTTGACCGCTTAGGCCCTAAGCAACCCATGGACTCCCTCCTTAGAGGCCTTGGACGATTTCTAATGGGTTTCCCCATAGAATTCGTCTACTCCATCCTTTATGGAGTCCATTAGCCCAATAGCCAACTATCACACAATTGACAGTTCTAGTCCCCTTTATTTAATTAATATCTTTTAGCCATAAAATTAATTCTTATTAATTCTTGACTAATATTAAACAATAATTAAACAATATGATTTCTTATTTAATATATTATTCTCATAATATATTTATAAATCATAATTATTCCTCTCTCTCTCCATAACTCATCCTATCAAGTTGCTTTGGTGAAAGCAACCCAAAAGGACCATGCACAATCGGGTCAAGTACATACCAAAATAGTTATGGACTTAGACACTAATCCAACAACTTTTTATTAAACGCAATGTCATTTATGGCTTTCCAGACAAACCAACAGTAACCGTACACAATGGCAATCGAGGTTCTTTTCTTCTTTGGACATCTACCCCCAATTAGCCACAAAACCCACCAGGTCTTTCGCCAAATCAAAAGTCTGCCATGGGATATTACACCAATCTAACGTCCATTGAAGCACCTAAGTAGCGAACGAGCAGCCAATCAAAATGTGATCTGTAGAGTCAATTCCATTAGAGCAAAAGTGACAGGATGTGGGAATGGAGACGCCTGAGAGAAAGGGCCACCACAAAAGGAATGTGATCCATACATGCGCGCCAAACAAAATCGATTACTTTACAGGGGACCTCATTAGTCTAGATGGTGGGATTATCAACATCACATGTGGTTTTAATATCGATAATATGTCTTAAATCACAGACATAAAAACTCTCATCAATAGCAAAGGTAGAAGTCCACCTATCTGGGGAATTAGAGGCAGACCAGTTACGAAAACAGTCTTGGATTTTGTCCCACTCCTCAATCTCACAAGGAAGCCTTGGCGTTTTTTTCCATTTCCAGCAACAACCATTGAGGGAAATTCTCTCAGAAACAAGAAAGAATTTTTTTCATATCAAGGGCTAATAGGTGAGGAAATTGAGAGGCGAGAGGTTCGTCTCCCAGCCAGTAGTCATGCCAAAAGAGGGTGTTAGCACCAGAGCCCACCGAACACTTAAGAATCCTCATGGGATTGATGTCTAAAGCTTCAAGATCTTGCATAATCTTACCAATATTATACCAAACGCCTGGAAAAGACTTCTTAGAAAGATTAGATAGCAGTTTCGAAAAGGAGTTATGAATAGCGCAAATAACTCGACTCCAAAGTGATGAGCTGTCCGACTTTAGTCTCCATATCCATTTGAAAAGTAAAGTGATATTGATACTCCTCATAGACCCGACACCGAGGCCACCACGCTCTTTACTAGCCATGACAATATCCTATTTTACCCAGTGAATTTTGTTTCTTTTCTCGCATCCTCCCCAAAGGAAGCTACGCCTAATTTTTTCAATGTTCTCCAAGATGGGAGTCGGAGCTTTGAACAAAGAGAAGTAATACAGGGGCATGCTACTAAGGACTGATTTGACTAAGCTTAATCTGCCACCAAAAGATAAATTTTTGATTTCCAGTTAGAAAGTCTGCTACTAATCTGATCCAAACCGGAGCCCAGTTGCGTTTGCGAGCCATGCTGGCCCCCACAAGAACACCTAGATAAATAAAAAGGAAGGTGACCGCTTCACATTCGAGGATTCTGGCATAGCTAGAAATCTCGTTGTTTTCCATCCCTAAACCAAAGACTCTACTAAGGACTGATTTGACTAAGCTTAATCTGCCACCAAAAGATAAATTTTTGATTTCCAGTTAGAAAGTCTGCTACTAATCTGATCCAAACCGGAGCCCAGTTGCGTTTGCGAGCCATGCTGGCCCCCACAAGAACACCTAGATAAATAAAAAGGAAGGTGACCGCTTCACATTCGAGGATTCTGGCATAGGTAGAAATCTCGTTGTTTTCCATCCCTAAACCAAAGACTCTAGATTTATGGAAATTAACATGGAGACCGGAGACAACATGGAAGCAACGGAGAATTTTGGCCAAGTCGAGAAGTTGGAATTGGTCCAATCACCGATGAAGAGGGCGTCATCTGCATAAAAATGATGGGAAATAGAAGGCCCATTATTAAGGAGATGTATGCCGGTAAAAATTGAGTTTTGACATGTTGATCGCATTGTGGAGTTTATCCCAAATACATTTACTTACCTCTAAAAGTCATTTACCATTTTCAGGTAATATCCCCATAGACTTATTTGTTATCGATTTAACATGTTATTGTCGGTAAAACCAATACCTTTTAACCGGTTAGAAAATTTTAGTGGTATATAATGATGTACATAAAATTCAATAACCAATTGTGTCCATAACGAACATTTAGTTACCCTTACAAATCATTAAAATTTTATTAAAAAAAGGATCAGTAATCAACAAGTTATTGGATATTTGATGAATCGTATGATTTCACGATTAATTTGTATCTATATTATATTATAATTGTGGTCATTCAAATGAATATAATTCAATATATATCTCATTATTACACCATATTCATTTGAAACTTGTATGATTCTTTAACTTTTTCAAGTAATTCGTCATTACAATTTAATAATTTTTTTTACTTACATTACTTTTAAGAATCATGACACTAATTTTATATTATAAGAGTTATATATAATTCACATGTGTATATTAGATCTAGCTTAGAGAATGATCAAAAATGATGTTGGACAAAATTACTGCACTTTAGTGTTCTAATCATATCCGACTACTCCATGCTCTGATCGACTTGATTTAAGTTTTTGCGGAAGGAAGACAAATTTATTTACAACTTTCCTGTTTCAGGTTTTTGCCAAATCTATAATTATTATAACTGAAATGGGAGTTGAAGTTCGACTACAAAAAAACGATGTTGTTTGACAGAATTACTTCACTTCAGTATTTTGATCATATCCAACTACTCGATGCTCATATTTGATGTAATTCAAGTTGTCGTGGAAAGAAGACAAACGTATCTACAACTTTCGTGTTTTGAGTTTTTGTCAGTTATGTCATTATTGTAGTCAAAATTAGAATTAAATTTGGACAACAAAAAAATTGATGTTGTTAGACATAATGACTTCACATTAGTGTTTTGATCATATCTGACTACTCTTCTCATATTGGTGTTGTTCTAGTTGTTGCGGAAAAAAAACAAATTTATCTATAATTTTCATGTTTATGTTTTTGTCGATCATGTCATTATTGTGGTCAAAATCATCATTAAAGTTGGATTGAGGTGCTGCAGGAACTAAAAAAGGTCAAATAAGTAAAAATTTAGTTAATTTCATAGTTGAAATTTTATAAATAACCTTAGTGTAAACTTATTATTTTTTAGTTAATATAAATAACATAAACATTTTAAACAACATACATTTTCAATGCTTTAACAACATATTTTTAATTTGTGCAACACATGCACAATCAGCTAGTATTTTATATATCTAGGTTAAACAAAATTTAATCATGGGATAATCCATTAAATGCACTTTCAATTCAAGTATAAAAAGAAAGCAATGTTATTGGAGAGCATATGGAATGTTTGTATTCTTTTAGAGCATCCAAAATTAGCAAAATATGGATAAGATTGATGAAAATAATATTTAGAGTTAGAACGGTTTCCGAAAAATAACCATGATACAGCTAAAGCTTTTAACCGACTAGATAGACAACATGGATGCCAAGCAAAGGCACGACCCAACTCACCTTATATACAAATGTGCACTCCATACATCCTAACTTGTATTAGATCTTAGGTTAAACCCTCGTTACACTCACGTTATTGGATTCGTGTTCCAATTATACCAAGTAAATGTCCAATGACATTAACATCATAGACGCCCTTTGTATTTTAACAAATGCAATAGTTAATTTACAACTCTTTACCAATCATCAAAGTAACACCATGAAGGGGAATTAACCATCATTTTTTATCATTTCTTTAAAAAAGCCAAAACATACATCATTTCATCTCAAGCCACAAATCACCACCATAACAATCGTCTATACACAATAATCATCAAATCAAACGAGTCTTTACTCCAAAAAACTTTGAAAAAAAAAAAAAACTATGCAGTCTTCAATGTTTATGTTGTGCATAAATTGATGAGCGAACAGAATATTGAGGTGGGACAGGTTTTCCATTCACATGCACTTGCTCCAAAAAGTCCACACGTACTGATCTAAACTCATATCTCTGTAAAAAAAAAATTTTTTTTTTTTTGCAAAGAATTAATAAATTATGAATCATAAAAATGAGTGTAATGCTTCAAAACTTCATGACAATATGCTTAACAAACCTTTTCATTCCATGAAAAATCGTTGCTGTGGAAATAAGGATCCAATAGAGTTAACTGGTCCCCTTCTTTAATCTGTTAAAAAAAAAAAAAAAACACAACTTTTTGGTCATATGGATTAAGATTCTCCTGAAAATTCATAACTTTTGGCTTAAAGATGTATAAAAAAAAGATTTTTATGACACTTACAGCATCTTTCTTTATCCCATATACTGTAAGGACAAAACATAGTTGGTTTGAATCACACACTAGATAATACCTGCAACAATGAGGGCAAATTTGTAAAAATGTAAGGATGTAACGGGAAAACCTCCTTTTCTTTTCTTGTAAATTCATTCATCGTGTATCAAGTCAAAAAGATGAATAAAGTGATGTATACATAAAGATTTGTTTCTTTTCTAGACCGAATAAACCGTCTGAATGAGACTAAATGACCGTTTTACCCTTACATTCCAAAAGACAAATCTCACGATATTGAATGGTTAATGTCTTAACCCATTAAGCCAAGTTTTTCTTGGGCTTAACCAATTAAGTTCAAGATTAAGTGAAAAAGAAACAAGATTTGACTTACAAGGGAGTAATATTATCATGCTTAATGAAGAAAATCACTTTTCCCACAACTGCAATTGTCTTGTTAAGACCCTCCAACAAATTATCAATTGTGGCCCTCTTGTGAGATGGGTTCACTTAACACCACAAAGAAATTTTTTCAAAGTTAAAACACAAATATCACATAAAAGATAAGTTTTTATGGGAAATGACAAAATTGGGTCTCTTACATTTAACTTCAGCAAGAGATGATGTCAAAGAAGCAAGCCTTTTGGCCTTAATTTGTCCCTGGAAAACAATTACTTCACATCAAAGACTCGAGCTTTTTTATCCAAGAAAACACAATCTTGATTTCTACTTTTATTTATCTGAATATTTAAGATACAATTTTCTTGGATTTTAAAAAGAAAAGGGTAATAATAACAAAAGAGAGAAACTTGCCTTCAACAAAGTGTCTATCTTGTCAAAAAGATTGACCATTTTCTGAACTTCCTCAGTGGCATTAAGACAAGGATCTTTAGATGCAGCTGCTTCAAATCCACTGAGGGCCCTTTCGTAATTTTCCAGATATGTATTCACAGTAGCAGAATTGAAATATAAGTCTGGGTTTGACTTCATGCTCTCATCTTTCTCCTGTGTTACATCATCAAAGGAAGAATATTAGATCAAAGTTGACTTTTTCAAGTCAAATCTACAATATACAATATAGATTTCCAACATACAGCATTTTGGTATGCTTTTAAAGACTGATGTAATTTGCTGTGATCCCATGCCCCCGTCACAAAGAAACATGTCAAACAAGCATTCCCAAGGTTGTCTGTCGGAATAACAGAAGGGTAAAATCGTCAATACACTTATATTCTTATGTCTTGATCATAAATTATGCAATAAACTTACACCATGAGTTCCCATCCTTCACATCTAAAGCAATAGCTTCCTTTGCGTGTTTTATGCTTTCAGCAACAATTTCCTCTTGATTATCAGCACCTAAAGATTTATAAATAAAAAAAAGGTAAGATTAAAAATATATATATATATATATATATATATATATATATATATATATATATATATATATATAACATAAGCAACAACCACATTAAAAAAACAAGAAATGTTTCTTGCCTTGAGCCATTCGTCTTTCAAGCATTGATAATTGGCTAAGTATCCTTTTGTTTGGACCCTGTATTACCATTAAAATGAAAAATGTTGGAAGTTAATTAAGTGGATATTAGTAAGAATTTATAAAAATATATACAAGTGAAGTGATAATCAACCTTGCTTAGAGCAAGGGTAAAACAGTTTCTTGTTGCAGGTAAATCTCCTTTTTTCCAAATGCAATTTCCTAAACACAACCAAGCATCTCCAAGAGATGGATTCAGTTTAACCTGTAAAGTCAAATAGTTGATTAAAGAATGAGAGATTTTATTGAACAGAACTTATGTATTTTTATATGATTAAAAGATATGATCAGTTGACTTACAGCTTTAGAAAGATGATCTTCTGCTTTTTTTGAGTATTCAGGGAGCACATCTAATATTTTCCCTCTCAAGTATTCATATGTTGCACGTTGTGTAGGCAATTTCCTTTGTTCTGCACATCACGATCATAATAAAATCAAACATAGTTTCATCATCAATCCCCATTAGCACCATTAAAGTTGCATCATATGATTCTATTCATCCAGATTAATCTAACCCGGCATTCTAATGCGTCTTTTCTACCACTCTAATCGACAATTAACACTTAACCTAGCATGTATTCGATTAACCTTCTGCTACGAGAAATCATATCATGCCATTCAAACAAAATAAGCGACAGGCATATAGAGAGACATTAACAATCGTGAAAGGTGAAAATCGTAGGGTTTCGAGGGAAGCGTACCAGGAGGAACGGAATCGAGGAGATTGAGAGCGATTTGAGATTGCGTTTGCAATTTGGAAGTTTTTTCATTAGGGTCTGAAGGGAAGTAAGTGTCTCGTATCGTGTACAGATCATTTGCTGCTTGTGTTGCCTTCTCCATTACATCTGATGCATCTTTTCCTTCTTCGCTGAATCGATTTTCTCCGCTCATCATACCAGTCATCTGTTTACTGAACTACACCGAAGATTTGAACTTAGATGGATCTTATATTCTTGTCTGAATTTGGATCTTCACCTTTTGCCTGGAGTTTGGAGGGCTCTGTGTTCCTCGGCGCAGTCCAAATTCAGTCCGAAGTCTGCAATCCAGACTCAAGACTCCTACGGTCCAACTGCAAAAACGCTCCTCAAGACTCAACACTCGAGAGTAGGAAAATGTAATATTCCAAAAAAAAAATGTTATTTTACTAGATTTGTGATTTAACCATGGGATCTAATTTTTTTTCTTCTTCGGTGTGTTTAGATAAATAAATATAAAAGTAAAAATATTTAAAAATTTTGAATTTATAAGAAAACAATAAAAATAATGATTTATTATATTGAAAATATTTTTTATTTTTTAAATTTAATTTAAATAAAAAAAACTAATGAGCTTTAATTTTGGAAATTTTGAAATTAAAAAGTAAGTTTATAAATGAAATTAATATCCATTTATTACAATTATTACAGTAAAATATTATGTGAAATTTAATAAAATATAAAAACTAATAAAATGATATGTGGAAAAAAAAATCAAAATAACCATAAAATGATATTTGACAAATTGAATAACAGTGTGACAAGTAACAAATTGAATGAGAGTGTGACAAATGATAAAAAAAAATATTTATTTATTATAAAGGTTTTAAATAAAGTAAATGTCATTGTAGCTCAATCATGTTATATGTTAAGGTTTAAAAGGTTACTATTGTTTTTTTTTTCCTGCATTTTAAGGGAAAGAATTGTTACTTTACCGGCTGAATTTGTTGGTTACCCATACAAGTTACAATACACATAAGTAAGTGAGTCAACTCTTAGTCAGATCGATGATCATGTCACTGAGTTGGGTCTTCGTGGAATACTTGGGCCCTAAGGGTTACTACTTACTGTGGACCCTCTCTTGTGACATAAAAGGAGGGATAAATTGGTTGAAACCCTAAATCTTCATTCCCTTTTTACACTAAACGATATTGACATTCCGACAAACATCCTTTTCACGTGAATCGCGATGGCTACCCCACCACCACAATCACCCAAATCGGTATCGATAAATTCAAGGGATTGTCTCAACTTTGGCGATTTGCATACTATTTTCTGTAAATGTGGAGGTTAGATTGTGAAACAAAAACTTGAAGTGGAGCGTTTGAAAGAAGAAATGGGCCGAAATTTGGTCATAAGCAGGGTGGACCTACTGCATTGCATCGTCGGTTATAGCAGATAGAAAAGAAGTTGCACTCCGTGACTGTGTTGGTGGTCAGACTGGTAATTGTGATATTTGGTTTCTGGTGGCTAAGGTTGTTGATGTATTGAAGAAGTGATTTGTTGGTATTTGTGGTGTTTGTGTTGATCAGGTAGTATTATGTTTGTATTAGGTTTTACGGTTGTGAGATCCTCTACCACCTGGGGAAGGCCAATGTCGTGGCTAATGCGATTAGTCGCAAGGCAGCGCCGATCAGAGATATTTACATGAGGATGACCGTGGTGACTCCGTTGTTAGAGCGAATTCGAGAGGCCCAGCAGGAGGCTATAAAGGAGGAACACCACAAGAGTGAGCGTATTGTGGGTTAGGTTTTCTCCTTCGATTATGACAGTCGTGGATTGCTGACTCTACACTGTAGGGTGTGGGTCCCATATCATGGAGGTGTGTGTTGGGTATTGATGGAGGAGGCACACAAATTTAGGTTTTCTATCCATCCCGTGCCGACGAAGATGTACAGGGATCTTCGTCTTGATTATTGGTGGCCCTACATGAAGAGGGATGTAGCTTGGTTTGTTGAGAGATGCCTGACATGCAGGAAGGTCAAGGCCGAGTACCAGAGGCCTTACGGAAAGACCCAGCCGTTGGATATTCCGCTGTGGAAATTGGAGGATATCACTATGGATTTCATCACGAAGCTTCCCAGGATCGCGCGGGGAGTGGATTCGATTTGGGTCATCATGGATCGGTTGACCAAGAGCGCCCATTTCATTCTGATTCAGGAGAGCATTTCGACTGAAAAGTTGGTTGGCATCTGTATCACAGGGGTAGTGGCTCGACATGGGATGCCAGTTTCGGTGATTTTCCGACAGGGATGTGCGGTTCACTTCCAGATTTTGGAAGAAGTTTCATGACGAGCTGGGTACTCGTATGCACTTTAGCACCGCTTTTCACCCGCATATGGATGGTCAGAGTGAGCGAACCATCCAAACTCTGGAGGATATGTTCCGGGCGTGTGTATTAGACTTCGGAGGTAGTTGGGATACTTATCTTCCTTTGGCAGAGTTTTCCTATAATAATAGCTATCACACAAGTATCGACCGTCCTCCATTCGAGATGTTGTACGGGAGGAAGTGTAGGACCCCGATATGTTGGGGTGAGGTTGGCCAGAGGGTCATGGGGAGTACCGAAGTGGTACTCAAGACTACATAGAGGATCCAGTAGGTGCCTAGCAGGCTTCAGACTGTTCAGAGTCAGCAAAAAAGTGATGCCGACAAGCGTCGTTCGGACCTGGAATTCCAGGTCGGGGAAATGGTGGTCCTGAAGGTGTCGCCTTGGAAAGGCATCATTCGGTTCAGGAAGCGGCGTAAGTTGGGCCCCAGGTACATTAAACCTTTCAGGGTTGTAGCCCGGGTGGGCAAGGTGGCATATAGGCTGGACCTGCTAGCCAAACTCAATCAGATTCACAGTACTTTTCACGTCTCCCAGTTGTAGAAGTGCCTGGTGGACGACTCGGCAGTGGTGCCTTTGGAGGGTATTTGTCACACCCCAAACTAGAACGGCGGAAACGTTCGGGGGTGGTTGACGTCATGTTTAGCATCACAACCATTGTACAATAGCAATCATAGTAACACAACAATTACAATGAATATATATATATATATATATATAATATATATATATATATATATATATATATATATATGAAAAGTGTTTACATCGGTTTGGAACTAGTTTTAAATACACCAAAAGTAAGTAGAATATAAAGACATGACTCTTATTGCTTCGGCTCCTCTAAATCCAAGAATTACCTGTCTACTGATTTCCTGAGAATACAAGCAGTTTGAAAGAATATCAACATAGAGCTGGTGAGTTCAGAAGCATTTAGTTTTGGTGGAAAAAGTTTCTTTGATCCTTTTGAAAAGTGTTCCTCAAGAAAATCCTATATTTTCTTATGAAAAAGTGTGTTTGAAAACCCATTCCTTCCATGACTTCCAGATACATACAAGATATATACAATCCGAGGTGTCATGGAATGAATATGAACCTCCGTCAGTTCCTTGTTAAACAATCCGTTTATGTAAGGCCGAGCTATCCCGGGAAAATCCTATATTTTCCCTAAAAGTAGGTTGTTGGCTATCAATTCTAAAAATGAAGTGTACAAGTATCTATCATACTTATATCGTTAAACGTGGTTTCGTTGAAAAACCGTGGTTACTCCCAGTGAAGTATATTAGCCTTATTACATAAATAAAAGTAATAAATATGTGGTGAACTAAATCCTGAAGGTATTGTTAATACCCTCCAGTAATCAAATTGGTTATTACTTTGAGGTTAGTTCACTTGATTCATTATTACAAAAGTAAATCTCTGCTATCTAATTTGTGAGTTTTATAACGATACGTGGTGAACTAAATCCTGAAGGTATTATTAATACCCTCTAGTAATTAAATCGGTTATCTTAAACAAAATAATATATATTGAGCACAAGTTTCCTTGTACTTTTGCTTGTATTCACCCCTGAAAACATGAAAAATTCGGAAAAGCATATGGGTATGAACTCACCTTGAGCGAGTGGTTTGATTGAAGGATCGATACGGAAAGTTGGATGTTCAAGTGAAGCCCTTAACACAATTTGATCCTAAATAACACGTAATGACACATAAATGAGTCAAATGAGGGTATTTCACTACTAGATGTGATGGAGAACCACTCTATGGACTTGGAACTACTTGCACTAAGTGTTAGGACCTTAAAGAATTGCATGAGGGAGGTGTATGGCCACCTTAAAGGTGTGTGCGGCCATGGGTGTGCGGACCAAGGGGTGTGCGGAAGTACACTCATGATAAGAGGTGACTTCGTGGTGTTTTCAAGGTCCATACTTGCATCCATGAAGTTTTCTAGGTCTATACTCGATTGTAGTGCAAGTTAAGTGTCCTAGAAGTGGGTTTGTAGTCCTAAGGTGTGTGTGTGGTCGGACACGGGAGTGTGCTGCTGCAAAAGGGTGTGCGGTCATACACCCCACATGAAGATGTCCAAAATTTCAATTCCAAGGTGCAATAAGGCTAGGGTCATGTCTATCTCGAGTATGGAAGTCAAACTCTCACTTTGGACGGTGTTTTAAGAGTGTGCGGACACCTTAAAGGGGGTGTGCGGCCACACTCACTTCCAAACACGAAGAACATGAAGAATATCGCACACTTAAGGCTTAGATAAAGTGGTCTTTCATGGGTATCAAGTTAGAGGATGAATTACTCACGTTCTTGAAGCTTTGGAGGGTTCACGGTTGAAGAAACTTGAGACAATGGTGTAGTGTGCGACCAAAGAGTGAAATGAATGAAAGGAAAGGGGTTTACCCTTTATATAAGAGTGGGTGTGCTGTCTAGAAGGGAGTGTGCGGCCAAGAGGTGAGTGTGCGGCCGCACACCCATATGTACGGTCGTACACTCCCCCTAAGGGTGTGTATGGTCCGGTTTTGTCACTCTATGGCTTGTTGACTCTTTCCTAACCTCAACCTAAATTATGCTCAAGCTTAGAATGCTTAAATGAACCCTTAAATAGTACGAGAAGTCAACAAAACAAGTTTAACATTGATTGAATTGGCTAAGTGTACAAGATAAAGGTTTCGGGTTGTCACATCATCCCCCCGTTAGAGGGAATTTTGTCTCGAAATTCAAAACGAAGTACAATCATGAACTTGGAAAATTTTGAGGGTACTTCTGCTTCATCGAATTCTCACGCTCCCAAGTGAATTTAGGACCCCCGCTTGGCATTCCAGCGGACCTTCACTATCGTGATGTGACCTTGCTTGGTGAGTTTGACCTCTCAGTCCATGATTTCAGCAGGTTCTTCCACAAAACATAGACTTTTGTCCGTATCGATCTCGTCCAGAGGAATCACAAGTGTCTCGTTGGACATACACTTCTTTAGGTTCGACACGTGGAAGACAGGATGAACGTTGTTGAGTTCTCGGGGTAACTGGAGTCTGTATGCTACGGGACCGATCCTAGCAAGGATCTCGAATGGGCCAATGTACCTTGGGTTAAGCTTTCCATGTTTTCTGAAACGTATCATGCCTTTACATGGTGAGACCTTCAAAAGGACTTGGTCAACAACCTGGAATTCCATGGGTTTCCGTCTCTTATCGGCATATCTCTTTTATCTATCTCGTAAGGCTTTCAGTCGTTCTCGGATTTGTACAATCTTTTCAATCGTTGACCCTTGAGTAGCTGCGTGTCACCCACTTCAGCCCAACCAGAGGGGATCTGCACTTGCGGCCATAAAGGGCTTTAAACGGTGTAGCCTTGATGCTGGTATGGTAGCTGTTGCTGTAGGAAAATTCAACCAAGGAAAGATGAGTGTCCCATGACGTTCCAAAGTCGATAACGCAGACTCTCAACATATCCTCCAATGTCTGGATTGTTCTCTCACTCTGTCCATCTGTCTGCGGATGATAAGTCGTGCTCATATCCAACTTAGTTCCAAGAGCCTTCTGTAGTGATTGCCAGAACTTGGATGTAAACCAACTATCTCGATCGGAGATAATGGATACAGGTGCACCATGAAGGCGAACTATGTCTAGAATATATATTTGTGTGAGGCTCTCCATATTGAAGTTTTCTTTGATTGGCAGGAAGTGGGCGGATTTTGTCAACCGCTCATCAATTACCCAGATGGCGTCGTGCCCATTCGGAGATCTGGGTAACTTAGTG